TGACGGCAACAATGTGTAATTGAGTCGAGCACGTGAGACGTTCGTTGTGAATTATAGCGTTTGTTATAGCGCGACTGTGGAAATTAAGAAAGAATAAACCAGTTTTATTTAAGAAAGGACTTGTATCGGTAAAGTTTCTTCAGAAAGAATTTTTACGGAAAATTAACTAACAGGAGGCGTAACAGTATTATTATTATTAAGGATTTTTGGTTCAATATATTGTCAACCGATAATTGTAAGTAATATTGTAAATTATTATGCATGGTGAAAATATATTGTTGCGTCATCGAGGTCACGTGACTGGTGTGGCGCCCTCTAGTTTCTAGAACTATCTTGTTTCTTCATGAATGCTCTAGTATTTACTAGATGGGGTAGGCGGGTATATATAAGAGGGGACAACGTGACGCGGTAATGTGTAATGTGTGTGTAGACAGTGAGTAATTGATCTGCAGTCAGAAGTATTATTGAGCACGTTCGTTGTTATAGCGTTTGTTTAGCGCGATTGTTGAAGTTGAGTGTATCGGTAAAGTTGTATTCGGAAAGAATAAACCAGTTTTATTAAGTAAAGAACTTGTGTCGGAACGAAGTTACGGAAAGTTAATTAACAAACGGAGACGTAACAATATCATATCAGACAAAATTATATGTGAAAAAAGGAAGATAGCCCTTATAATTTATTTTCTTCTTTTAATACCTTTTAAAAGGAGTTTCTATTATTATTACAAAGATAATGCTTAATAGATTGTTGCATTACATGAACAAAAAACATCACCAGAGAATGCAAGTTTATAACAGATACTTTTAGATGACTTTCTTAAAGTTATGCATAGTTATGTCATTCTTAGGGTTTGGGCACATTTAAGTTACCCCCGTAAGTTACTAAAAAGTGCAAAAACACCTTCAAATAACAAAGTCCATCTACTTTGACCACCTATATATCACCTCCAGCTACTAGTATCTACAGTGATGATGGCAAGATAAATATCAAACTTCAATTTCACATATGTCACTTCCTGTTCTGAAGTGAAAAATATAATATTGAGAAATATTCATATATATACATTTCCTATGACAATAGTACTGAAGAGTCCTAACAACAATGCAAGATAGTCATCACAGCAACAAATAGGACAGCATTCAGTGTCTAACTGAAATACCATCTATATCATCATCCTCTTCATTTGAACAGACCTCCACTATTACACCTTTCTCATCCTCACTCTTCTTATCACACAACTGAAATCTATATGCAAGTGTAGACTTAATTCCATATGCAAGGCACTGGGAATCAGAAGCTTGCATTCTCTGTTATATTTGCATGCAATCAAATCAGATACTATATCGTTGGCAGATGGGCATTTCATCCATTCTGTTGTTTAATACTCATCTTCCATGGCTTTCATGGTTCCATTACTGGAGTGCTCACTCTGTTACCAGTAACAATAGAGTAATTGTGTATTTTTCAGGTTCTGTGCAGATGGGGGTTTCTTAGATTGTTCCACAACTGGTATTTGTGGATGCTCAATTATGCCATTTACTCTGTCTCTTCTCTCCTTTACTGGTGAATGTTATCTTAGGCCAGACTAGTGAAACTGTATGCATGGTATTTTTAGGTAAAACTGATTTCCTGACAAGTATAAGACAAACAAACCCACAAATAACAACAGATTCAATCAAGGGATAAGAAGAGAGTTCTGTAGTTGATAACCTGACTGAATTTTAAGTTGCCTGAGACATAAACAAAATGAACTCATTTAAATGACAGTGAAAACAATATATATTTAGACATAATGTAAAAAAAAACATTGTGTGTACCTGCATATACAAGTGGATAATCTCATTATCAGTGAATAGCTCAAGATGAATTTGCTGAACTAGTAATGATGAAAGCCAAGTAGAACTGAATAGAAAAAGTTCACCTGGATTTCGAATATTACCTTTTTTGTCAAGTGGATAGCATTACCTTGTGACCCTTCTTCCCTGACAGCACTGGCTAGCCATTGGTTTTAATTAACATCATAGCTCAGCCTGCAAATGATATTCCAGTTTTAACTAGTTCAACCCAGGCTCAAGATGCAGCACTGAAATATCCTTGCAGGCAGAGGACATCATCTGACAAAAGAACAAAGGGCTGAGGTGACTAAAATAAAGTAACATTAGACACACTGAACCATGTGGTGCCATCATGCCAGAGAGGAAACTAAACAATCAATACTTTAGAATAATTCTATGTTACTATAGAAGGTAGGGGAACATGGTATGCCTGCATATCACACAGGAAAGGATGTTGAAGGGTACTGCTATGTTTCTTAGTTTCTGAAGAAGATGGCAATATCAATTTTATCTTCTATGTTTAACATTCCATAGTAGCAAAATACGTTTTGCATGTCTCTGCACACTAGCAGTCCTTAACAAATGACTGTGTAAGTCTTTGCTGATGGTGTATTCTCCTTCATGTTCACTGTTAGCAGCATTTTCAGAAAGTATGTCAAAGGTTTATGCATTAGTATATAATAGTGACTTAACTTGTCTGGCCATAGAGACCATCCCTGTTCAATGTTGGACTTCCTCATATGAGACCTTCCACCATGGCACATTTCTTCAAAGCTGGTGATGATCTTGTAACATGTGTTTCAAGTTCAGAAGCCATCCTTAAGTTTTCTTTACTATTGCAGTTTTGGACAGACTGTTAAGCATGACTAAAAGTCTATCTTTATACCTTCATCAACAGACCATTATTAAACATCACATACAATATACCATTATTATGTGTAAACTTTGTATCATTACAAAATGAACAATACTTTTAAGATTGTAATGGTTAAATGAAAATAGCAATTGTTCTAAATAAAAGTCTGTAATTATTCTACATGAACCATTTTAGTCAGGTGAGCTTATATATCAAGGAATGCCTTCTGATAATCATACCAAAAACCTTTAAATAGGTGTACCACAAGCAGTTTTGTTGTTCCTTATGAAAGTATTATTTCCTTGTTAAAAAAGACAAACAAAAACATATTCGATAAAGTGATACATGTAAAAGCACTGTATGGTTGGATTTCCCATAATATTTAATCAAAATTTAAGTTACAATCAAAAACATCCTATTTCTATCACTAAGCTATCATTGGGAAAAGTTCATCATACATTTTTGCAATGTATATATATGTGGACCTTTCAACAAAACATTGGGGGAATTTGCCCTGCAAAATAGTAGTAACATATTGTCTAGCTCATGGGCTGTATGTACCATTATTAGATACAATTGGTTTTACTGAACATCATTGTTTATATACTTTAGGTAACTCATATAAAATACCTGTATGTGATCCTGTTGGTTTTAGCAATTTACTCATTATCATTTATTAACCCTTGTTTCTTAAACTTAATAAATATTTTTGTAAGATCTTTCACTAATTTCTTAAATTTATTTCCATACTTTAAAATATCTTGAAATTTATTAATATTTATATATAATCTGTTTTATTTAATAGTACAATTGAATTTCATTTATCTGATTCTCTCATGAGATTATATCTTCCACCCTTTTTAGTTGATTAAGTTACTCTAATTTGCCCCAAGTTATTCCTATCAGAAATGATTCATTACTACTTGGCCAAATACAAACTGTTTTAAGTTGAAACAAAAACTGTTTAAAATGTATCAAATGATCTGCATACCTCAAATTTTACAGTGGTAATCCAAAATTTAAACATTATGTATTACTCTTTTTTTTTTATCACCTAACTTAAAAGTTAAATGTAATTATTATTAGATCTTAGAAAGATGTCAAAGAGAAGAAAATTGTACCAACATTTCTTCAATTAAATTACAAGTTTTAGAAAATTAAAACAATACATACTACTGAGATACAAAAAAATATAAAAACATTCAAGGTTGCTTAATAAACAGTATGAGAGAGAGAGATTAGAAATAATAGTTAAGAGTATATTCAGCAAAGTGGATAATAAAACAAACTAATACAAAACTAAAAATAATGAAGAAAACACATCTCAAGAAATTATTTAACTTGAAAGAGGCTAATACTGATTGTTTTATAACCTGTCTTGATTAGGTCATCCTTATTTTTTTTTACATTAATTTGAAGATAAGTGGAAAAAATATATCTAGAGGCTTACATTTTGGACTACCATCTTAAAACCTAAGATATGCAGATTTAAAAATTTTGAACATTATTTTCAGGCCAACTGTTTATATTGAAATTAGGTAAAGGTAAGACCATATTAAGGTAAAGGAAGATATCCTTAACATAGTAAATCAAATACTTCATTTTGTTTTCAATCGATTTACAAATGTTGAAAGCACCAATACATGGTCTAAGATTACATTTGTATCCTGAATACTTGGTCCTACACTTTTGGCTTTGCTTGCATTTACTTCTAAAATGAGGTTTATATCTTGAATAGATCAGAAGTTATAGTAACTTGTTCTGTTTAGTGATCATCTTGTTTTTAGGCAATTTTTGGGTCAAAATTTAAAAAATTTATTTAGTATTTAGCATTTTTAATATCACTAGCTTCAAACTGTATAAAAAAATGCTTTAACAACCATTTACTAGTTTTCTTTTTTCCAGATACGAGACCAAGCAATATTTTCTTAGGTATTTTAAATTTACAATTAATTTCAAGTTTCTGCCACACCCTCTACAGAAAAATATGGTTTCTCCTCAGTGTGCATCCTCTCATGTTTTCTAAGGTCCCAGTTTCTTCCAAAATTTTTACCACACACTACACAGCTGTATGGCTTCTCTCCAGTATGTACCCTCTCATGGCTTTTCACTTCACTGTTTGTTCCAAATTCCTTGCCGCATACTACACAACAATATGGTTTCTCCCCAGAGTGTATTCTCAAATGTATTTTCAAGGAACTATTTGTCCTAAGTTGTTTTCCACAAACTGCACAAATGTAAGGTTTTTCTCCAGTGTGTATTCTTTGATGCATTTTTAATTTACTTTTTGTTCCAAACTGTCTTCCACAATCTGCACAACTGTAAGGTCTCTCCCCAGTGTGTATTCTCTGATGTATTTTTAGGTCACTATTTCTTCCAAATGTTTTTCTACATATTACACAGCTATATGGTTTCCCTTCTGTATGTATATTCTCATGTGTTTTTAGACTACTTTTAATTACAAATTCTTTACCACACGCTGCACAACTGTATGGTTTCTGTCCAGTATGTACTACCTTATGACTTTTCAGTTCTCCATTTGTTAAACATTTTTCTCCACACACTAAACAAGTGTATGGTTTTTCGCTGGTGTGCATCTTCTGATGAGTTTTTAAAATACTATTACTTCCAAAGTATTTTCCACAAACAACACAACTGTATGGCTTCTCTCCAGTGTGTGTCCTCTCATGTTTTTTTAAGTTACCCATTGTTCCAAAGTATTTTCCACAAACAACACAACTGTATGGTTTCTCTCCAGTGTGTGTCCTTTCATGTTTTTTCAGGTTACCCACTGCTATGAATTCTTTGCCACACACAGAACAACTATAGGGTTTCTCCCCAGTGTGTATTCTCTCATGCATTTTCAGATTAGTGTTTCTTCTAAAATCTTTGCCACACACTATACAACTGTATGGTTTCTCTTCAGTGTGTATCCTCCCATGTTTTTTCAAGTCACTTTTTGTTCCAAATTTTTTGTCACACACTATACACTTGTATGGTTTTTCCCCAGTGTGTATCCTTTCATGTATTTTTAGATCACTATTTAGTCTAAATTCTTTGCTACAAACTATACAACTGTATGGTTTCTCCCCAGTGTGTATCCTCTCATGTTTTTTTAGGTCACCTTTTGTTCCAAATTTTTTGCAACACACAAAACAACTGTTTGGTTTATCTCCAGTGTGTGTTCTCTCATGTATTTTTAGGTCACTATTCATTCTAAAATTTTTGCCACACTCTCTACATCTATAAGGTTTATCCCCAGTGTGTATTCTCTCATGTTTTTTAAGGTTACTATTTGTTTGAAATTCTTTACCACACACAAAACAACTATATGGTTTCTCCCCAGTGTGTATCCTCTGATGTATTCTTAATTTACTATTTGTTCCAAAGTATTTTCCACACAAAACACAATTGTATGGTTTCTCTCCAGTGTGTATTCTCTCATGTTGTTTTAGGTTATCCATGGTTGCAACTTCTTTTGCACGGATTATACAACTGTATGGTTTATCACCACCTTTAGATGGTCTCACAGTATTTCCATTTATATTTGTTTTTCCACACACCTCGTTTAGTTTTGGGGATTTGATGACTTCTGTAAAGGGATCTTCTTGTCTTAAAACATGATGACCAGGAAACTGACTTTCAAAACAGATGTTCACACCAGTCTTTATATCTAAAATTAAATATGATGCAACAAATTTACTTTATTTGACAAACTTTTACATACAATCTAATGGTTTAATGAACTCAACACACACACATAACAATATCAAAATATTAAAGCTAAAAAATTTATTATGATCAAACTTTGTAATTTCACATTTTATAAAAACTTTTTTTTCTGTATCAAAATAGCATTGAAAACATAAAATGGAGGTAACATTACATATTCAATAAAAAGATTTGTAGCAGATAATCTAAAATCAACTGTGGAAATATTATGGTATAGTCTCACAACATCTGACATTACTATAAGATAGTAATTTCCTGGATTAATTTTTAGAAATATCTTCATACTTTAAGTGGTTGGTTATCAAGAAATACTTCATGTTCACTAACATCAATACTTTAAAGTTCCTGTTCAAAAGATATACATGAAAGTTAAATAAACATATAAAAATGTCAAGTCAAAATGCAACTGTTTGGCTGTTATTTATTTTATCAAGGTAGGACAGAATTCTTTTACTAGAAAAAGTATCAGTACTTAATTCAATAGGCAAAATTAAGAGACAGAGGGTTTGGGATCATTATGTTCTCAAATCCAGGAGGCTATAAGTTTTCAGAAAAATCAAATCTATGGAAATCAATTATAGTAGTATATGCTGAAATACTAAACTACAGAAACTGGCTTCAACTATTACTCACAAAGTCTTTAGACACAAAATACTGCTCAGTCAAAAGGTTTCTTCCTATTTCACTTTTTCCAATCCCAATCACACTTAATTTTAAAATGTTTTCAAACCTTTTCAGATAGTAATTCCCAAGCAAAGATATCAAAAAACACACCAAATTAATCATGTCTCATTTGTTCAATAAATTTTAAAAGATTACCATGACTTTAACCTTTTTTTTTCATTTAATTTTAGGAGATGTTTATACTTACCAGATGCAATTTCCAACTTAGATTCAATTTGTTGTAAATCTTTAAATACATTTTCTATTTTCACATTCACAAAGCTATGGTTTAAACTATCCAAATCAATATCACTGCTGTCACTGAACTTTGAAATAATGTCATCTTGTGGTAGACCACTAGACTGCTCTGTTTTCACTCTGATAAATATGTTCTAAAATGAAATTACACATTCAAATGTCAATAAAATAACAACTACTGGCATCATTAATGTAGTAAAATACAAAAACAGTTCAATAACTTAAAACAGGATGATATAAACATAATATTTGAAAGTTAATTATGTGCAATAAAAAGAACTATTTATCTCTGTACACAACTTTGGTCAATCTGACCAACCTTGTAACCACCAATTGACAATTCTATAACTCTGAACCTATTAAGGTATCTTCATGAAATTTATCAAACTTTTAGTAAAAAGTTTACTTGAAAAATCAGATTTTTTCATTCAGTATTTTTACTCAAGATTTGTCTATGAGTACATAAAGCCATGTACAAAAGTCGTCTGAGCACCTACTAGGCCTACACTTTTTTGGTAACAATAGTATGGTCTCAAATTATTTTTAAATGGAAATATATAATATTGCCCTTTAAAAAAAAAAATTGCATGTCTTAAAACTAATATAATTCAATTGGCTTTCTAACCAAGCTATAAATGATTTCAACAACTGATTAAGCAGAGATCCAACACTGGCAAACAATGAAAATGGCTGCAAACTTTTCAACACCTGCCACCTGAAAAGCTCCTAGCCACTGCATTCAGTAAATTGGAACCTTCTTTTTCTTTCAGTTAAAAATAATCCAATAGTAAATAGAAATTACTGACATTTTTTAAAAGATGTATTAAGACGGGTGTGACATATGGATTTCACTTTATTACATAAATGTCAGTAAAGAAAGAAGCTTTGAGACTACATATTATCGTTTTAACTCCAAATTTTTATACTATAAGTGTATATTCATGAGAAGAATGAAAATCTAAAATGGGCAATTTGGAGTGAAGAAGTGCCACAGGATACAAAGAAGTGAACCTTGAGAACTTATTTAATGCAACTCTGTGAAAGGTCGTGACATGCACACTTGTTGGTCAAAATGACTGAGACGTTAACTATTTCAAACATTGTTACTATTTTTTTCAATAAACCAAAAACCAAGTTGAATTAGTTCTACATGCTGGATCAAGAAACAAGTTTTGAAAACAAGACATTAATGTAAGGGACGTAACAAATAACCTAACATTTTTCTTATTTAATTACACAAATATTCAGCTTTATATGGATATACCATTGAAATTAAAAATAATCAGACAGTGTAGTTATAAATATCACTAATATCTTTGGTTTTCTAACGTTCTAGGTATTTCAATTTCACTGTTATCTCAATGAAATGGCTCTTTAGCCATGTTTTCAAATATCAGTTAGGTTTATATAGAAAACAGAGCCAATATCTATTTGAAAATTTTAGAATGAAAATGAATTTTTAAAAAATGGTAAAACTAATTTGGGAAAATCAAGTATAAATCAGCAAATAATAAAATGTATTTAGAACTTCTCATTGTCCACCTCCAACTCTCAGTGAACAAAAGGAAAATCCACAAACAATTTATTTGAAATAAAGACCTTACAATATCTGCTTACCCATCAATAACAAAACAAGTGGAGGAACTGCAGAAAATGTTTAAGCAGTGCTGGGCAATTAACAGATTATTTGTTGGACACAAAGCCAATATATATGGGTTCAGTCAATTTGAACAATCTTATACCAACCATGTAACCATGAAATACATAGTATGATCTTTTTTGAAATAACATTAAAAATTTAATTAAGCAGCTTTGTTATTAATGTATGTCAATAAATTTGGATTAAAAACGTAGCTTATAATATAAATTTTTTTATCTAAGTTTTAATTTCATAGAGAAATATTAAAATTTCTCAACCTATACTTGTCTATGTCAGGCAATGTACCCACACTCTGAATTCCCCCATTTTATATTTTATAACTTCAACAATACAACATCTACAGTACTGTATATTGGCTAACCATAATTTGTTTTGAGATCTTGAGATCTCAAATGTTAACCTTTTCACATCTGTTTGTTTTAATTTTATAGTTTTATTGCTTTTACTTGGACTACACCAACAGTTTGTCCTCCATCAAAATCAATAAATAACAGCAGGAGCCCATTACATTTTTTCTTAGATCTTATGTAAACACTACTTGACATTTGCACTTGCAGCTAATTGCCACAGCCTTGGTGAATCTTACAGATTTGGGTTTCCAAAAATATTTCATGTAGCTTTCACATAAGCATTTTTGGAGACAAAATACATAAGTCCCTAAAAAAGAATGCCACAAAACTACTATAATTTACCTGGCTATAAATAGGTTATAAAATTCTGTTAGACATTCAGCCCATTAAAAACATAAGGCATTTTTATGAAGTGAATACTCTCCCCACCAAATCATTAAGGAAGGTTATAAGCTTGATAAAGAGGAGAATTTGCTCTTTCTTTGAATTATAAACATGTCCCTCAGCCAAGTAAACAACAGTAAACAATCTTGAATATAATAAAAGAGAGAAAGGAAGGGATTCTCTGGTGGGTTTCACAAATATATTGATATCTTAGCAAATAAAGAACTAAGAAGGTTCAAATCTTGAATTATTGGTTTTAATTATGTATAATTTGTATTTCTAATTGGTTGGAAACTGCACCAGCCTATTACAGCAGTTACAAAATTATGAAGTTAACACTTTCCTTACATTAATAAGTATTTCAGATAAATACTCATCTCTCCACAGAACTGACAGCTATTACCTGGCACCAAAACAAATGTTTGAGCATATGCCAAGTCTTGAATGAAATTCCCACCCTTAATATGATTTAACATGTACAACTCCAGTTTATAATGTAATCATCATTAGACACCACATCCTCCATGTATGGTAAACCCCATGAGCATTCATGTTTCAACAAAGGCTCATTCTTGACAAGACAATAGAAGTACACCAGAAATGGGGAGTTTCTGTGAAAAGGTATCTATCTGAAATATTTTTTTCAGGTAAGGAAAATATTAAGTTTAGAAATTCTATCCACATTGAAAAGATGCTGGATGGGCTGATGTAGATAAACAAATTAAATTTATGGGCTCCTATCTGAAATTATAGCATTAGTATTTACTTAACTAAATACTAATTGTTTCAAGTTACTTAACTCTTTCACTGCAGTGGGAAATATTCATCCTAGCCACAGTGAATGAGTTAATGAGATAACCCAAGGCAATATGTTTGCCAAAACAAAGACTTTTGCTAAAGCTTCTATAATCCAGATTGTGACTCAACATGGAGTTCCACACACTGACAATTCTACTGGTTCTGATGATGGTCTTCATGCTAATAACCATTCTCTTCTTTATGATTTAAACAAATCAGTGGTTAAAAATGTTTACATAAAAACTGCTTAACTAGTGACCACATAGTTTCTAACAGTACATTTACTAGCTGCATTACAAACAAAACATTTACTGTATTCAAGTCTTCAGGATTTACATAGCAGCACTATACATATTGTATACCTTAGTTAGCAGCAGCAGAGGTGAGGTGCGAAACTTCACAATGTTTGAGAAGCAGGGGTAATTTTGTTCAAGATCAATATGGTGCTGAAGGTGTAATGTAGGTTTATGTAAACTGAAGGTTAGTAGCTGATTTTAACTATTCCCCCTGACGATGGTAGAATAGAGCACCACCAAAACATGTAGTTTTTAAGGCTGAGTCCTGTTTTTTAAGAAGCTAGTTTTATTATGCAGCAATTCAATGTTGTATGTTAATTTTTAATATTTTATCTGTGCACAAGTGTCATTCAATTTATTTATTTTTGTTACCAATGAGCACTTTTAGAGTTGAATGGTGAACTGAAGTGTTGTTGACTGGTATTCTACATCTGCATTTGAAAGTTGAAGAACTAATTCCAAAGAATCTAGGTGCTGGGAGACTGCTTAGAAGTTATTGGCACTGGTATGGGTGTGTTCCTTGGTGGCATAAGAATTGTTTCTTTGTGTATTTTCTGTGATCTATGGTCAGGATGCCTGAAACTACTTGAGACTTGAACAAAGTGTTTAACAAACTCAGAAATCGACAAGAGAAAACTTACACAAATGAATTTTTGGATGAGTGTAGAAATTCAAAATTGTTCCTAGCAGTATTAAAGTTAAATGGAACCTAAAACGTAAAACTGTGCAGTTTATTATAAAAACTGCATCAAAAAATTCTTGGAATTGATTAAAGAAAGAAAAAAGAGGTATTACATTAACAAAAGCTAAGCTGTGTAACCTACATTTGAAATTAACTAAAAAACACTCATAACATATTATGGGTTAGGTTGGACTTATTTAGTTGGTTAAAGAGTGGAAAGTTATGAGTAAATGACTAGGCAAATCTGAAAAATAAACTGAGTAACTTAGTTAAGAAAAAAGAAAAAAGTCTGAAATGTGAGTCTGAAGTTCCAGCCTTTAACAATTCACATTGTTACGACAGCGGGGGTCACGTGACGCTAGTAACACATCATATTCTCAAACATTCACGTCCCTTCCTGAATTCTCAAGAGGCTACTAGATATGCGGTAGCCTTGTATATATAAGCCGCCAAGAAGTGACGGCAAGAAGGTAATGTAATGGGTAATTGACAGTTGAGTCGAGCACGTGAGACATTCGTTGTGAATTATAGCGTTTGTTATAGCGCGACTGTGGAAATTAAGTGTATTGCAAAGTTGTATTCAGAAAGAATAAACCAGTTTTATTTAAGAAAGGACTTGTGTCACTAAAGTTTCATCAGAAAGAAATTATACAGGAAATTAACTAACGACCAGAGACATAACAATATAATAAATTACTCTCTCTGACCCTAAAGTAGTTAACTTATTGAATGAAATTATATCATACAATCAAATGGAAATTTTAAGTCTAGGCTTAACTTTTTAGATTAATAACAATTTGTCAGAGAGGATTCAATCATATCCACAGAAATGTGGTTTAAATGATTAAAAGTTAGTAATGAGAGGATAAAGCATTCAGTTAAAAAACAGGTAGCCAAAGAGTATTGAATCAAAATTGTAAATCTACACTTAAGTAAGTGGAATAAGAAAGTTATGCACATTAAA